AAGAAGAAGAGGAGGAGGAGGAGGAAGAGGAAGAGGAAGAAGCAACTATTGGAAATAAAGGAGACAAACAAAATGCAACCAGGCAAGATCAGCTGGAGTGGGATGATTCAACACTACCCTACTAGAAACCCTTAGTTTTATTGCTCCTTTTGTATACACCAATACTGTGTATTTCTGAGTCAATCCTACTGCGTCAACCCCATCTTGGATCTATGAGTTAATTGGCAGGATTTAACTCTATTGACTTCAGATGATAGAACTGCATTGCCTGAATTTGATGTAGTTGTATCAAATTGCTCCAGATAGTTATTCCTTTCCTAGTGTATGGGTAATGGCACCTGGTAAAAGCACAGGGTACAACTGTTTATGTCTCACCTGTGATAACACCAACCTGACGCCATATGTTCCTTACCACTTCTCCCTTTCCAGGAAACTCCAATATCTTCTAATAAGATAAATAAGAATATGCAAAAGTCCTGTTTGCCAGTCCATAAAGGATACAGTTCAGCTTTTCTTTTCCTTTTTCTGTTTAAGTGAATTCAAGTCCAAGTAGACATACCCCCTTTCTGGGTTTGGTTCGACTTTGGTTAAGAATCCTATGTTCAGAAGGAAAAATGTAGGTGCTACTCATTAGGGCAACATTAATTTGCTCTCATTTCCACTGTTCTGTTTTAATTAATTGCCTTCTGCAAGAGGGATTCAGAGTACTTTAAATTGGGTGTGTGGGTGTGGGTGTGACATACACCCAAATACACACAGGAATGGATAATCAATTTCACTGCTAATGTTCAAACTCGGCAGGGGAAAATCCTTATCCAATTCACCTACTAATACTCAACTGTAAAATCCTATAAGCTGATACCTTTGCATGTGATGACTTTTCCCTCTATCACACAGATGAACCAAAATCATGCAAAATATAGGTTTGACTGGAGTGTTACTTGGGTTAAGACCTTTGCTTCTGATTTACACAGAAAATCTATTCTCTGCACTATAAATCATTACTTTGTTGACATACCTTATGGCAGCATTATACAATAGCTGGGCCTGGCTGAGATTTAGTCAAGTGTTGTGTGTATGGAGCTAAACATATGTAGCCTAGGGGAATTTTCCCTAGCACATATTAGAAAGACAGACCCTGATTTTATTTCTGCAGCTAGAACTGGTATGTTCTGTTTTCTACCAAAATATATTGGGCACCAAGCAAACAAGGCTACCGCTGAAAGGTCTCTCATCTGAACCCCAGACTGGTTTCATTTTTGTTGTTGAAGGATAGGCATGTTTGGAAAGTGCAAGATAATGAAACACAGAACTTTAAAGCAAAAACAACTAGTAGAGTTTTGGAGGAAATGCAATTTATAATATAGGGTAGTTTTGGTTCCCTCTCCTCAACCACTGTATTCCAAATGTTGAAAAGGCATTGGCATGTCTGTGTGGTTTGTTGTATAATTTCCCCCCTTAATTTTCTCTGTCTTTGCAGCTACATGATTGTGGAACACTGCATTACTTGATGCTGTGCATATTTTAGACATATAGAAGCCAATGCATTTTGATGCAGAAGCAAAGAACGTTGTTTTTTAGTTTCCAATTTCCAATTTTATATTTCCCCCCTAAAGGTTTTTGTGTTTGCTTTTGATTTTTTATCTCAACCTGAGTTTTGGAGGAATGCCATCTCATCACCCTGTGACAAGAAAGCATCAACATGTTAACAGAGGTTAGAGCAGTCTGTGGGGTTTGGTGGAGCAAAGCTTCTGCTGCTATTTTATTTTCTCCAGGAGTAAGTTCTGAGCAAAGGGAGTGCAGGAAGCTGCCTCTGATTAGGTCAGACTATTTGTACATCTGTCTTTGAGTATGTCTAATCTGACTGGCAATGGCTCTCTGGGGTTTCAGGCAGAAACTGTCACTTGCTAGCAAACCCTTTTTAACTGGAGGTGCCTGGGATTGAAGCTGGGACATTGTGCATGCAAAGCAGGTGCTTAACCACTGAGCTGTAATATAGGAAGGAAGGAAGTTCTTTCCTACTACCTAGTTGCCAGAGTTTAAGACCATAGACATTCTAAGGTTCGTGGATAGGAGCATTTGAAGCTAGGATGGGCTAAAGGGAATCTATCTGGACAGCTGCATTGTCTCATTTGAGCCCATAGGTCTTTCATACCTATGGATGAGGTCTGAAACATTTTAAAGCAGAAGCAGGGAAATGAGAGAGAAAGGTAGTGTGGGTATAGGGTTTGCCTTCTTAGTTAACCCATGGACAAGTCCTCAATTAAATAATTTCTGTATTAGAATGTATCCATATTTCTTTGGCAAAGTAAGCTTGGGGACACACACACCAATATTTAAATTTGTTTGTTTTAGCAGCCTACATGAAATGTTCTGACAATAAATTAACACTTCCCAAATATGAATTGAATTTTTAAATTTAAGTTACACCAATTTCTCTACTCAAAAATAAAAATAAAAATCCTTCTGATTACCAAACCAGCATAAGAATTGCCATACAATTAACTTTGAGAACTGCAGCAAATTTTATCATCCCCATGTGGATTCATAGAGGTCCAGAGAGGGCAATGACATGCTTGTGTGTCAAAATTCTGATGATACTCAGAAGTGCTCAACCATTCGGATGCACCTGAAGGAAGCAATCCTGTACACAAGATGCTGGTGTAAAGCAAGCCTGTGTAAGTCAAGATGGTGTAAAGTTACACCCAGTCCAAACTCTGCTCAGCAGTGGAGCTACTTCTGAATGACGAGGCTTAGGCTTGGCAGAGGGGAAGCAAGCCTTTAAAAGAGTGTTCTTTGCCAGGTAACATGACTGAGCTGAATGGACTTAGGATCCAGCCTAAGTCCTCCCACTCTGGTCCCACCCCCAGAACACCTGTTTTCTTATGCTGGTTTAACGTTTGCCAGGCTAGCTGGAATGGGGGAGATACGCCAGTATATATCTTGCGGAGCTGAGGTTGGGGGTTTAAGCTAGAATTGCCTGACTAGCTCACCTGGAGATCCACTTACCTAACCCGTCCATCCCAGTAGATCTTGCGACAGAATTGCTCTCTTAATCCGTAGTTGACTGGAAAAGGAAGGGAAAGTTCAGCTTCACGAATAGGCCATTCATTGTTATTTTTTACATTCAGAAGTTTGTAATCAATTAGACTCTGTAGGCTAACAAGTGTCAAATTGAATTGTTAAATCTGTTAACATTGGTTGCACTTCTTACATTAAAAAGGGAAAGAAAGAACGACGTATTTCTCAAGAGGACCACATGGGAGAATGTTTTAATGAATACGTTGAACGAAAATGCTAAGGTACCTGATGAAAGTCTAACATGCAAGACTTGTATTAAAGCTGCACAGACAAGTCCATTGTAATCTACTTGCACTGGGCATTCAAACAAATACCAATAATCTGTAATTAGTTATTAAAAATAAATCTGTTCAGATTATGCTGGTTCATTATGGAAGGCAAAGTTGCTTTATTTTTAAAATTGTAAATATTTCCAGATTCTGATTTCAAAGCCAATACTCCCTCTACAGTAGCTTTACACAATTGTTCTGTACTCTGCATATGAGTGCTATTTTGCTCATGTTCTGCTTATGAACAACTGAGAGAACAGAATGCAAGGCTAGATAGGCCTTTGGCCTGATCCAGCAGCCGGATCCTGCTAGGTTCTTACGCTTAAATGCATTCTATATTATCATCCACATACTTTGCATGGTACATTCATGTAAATCAGGGTGGAGAATTTTTGGCTGTCCAGATGTTGCTGGGTTGCAAACCCCTGATCATTGACTATGCTGGATGAGGATGCTGGAAGCTGGAGCCTAACAACATCTCAGTTCCTTACCTCTGAGTTAAATGCTCTACCAGTTCTGCTTCATATAGTGAGAAATGCTTATTTTCATCTAGAATTCTACAGTAATGGTGGAAACAGGAAGAACTGTGCTAAATTTTCCCTCCCCTGGTTCTCAGCAGTATTTCTGACAGTCATTGATTTATATTTCCTTTTGTTCATTTCTGTTTCCTTGTTTACAAGGTGATATCTTGATTCTTAGCTTACAACTATCAATTATTTAGGGATCAAAAACAAAGAAAGGATTTCAGGCATCTGCAGCTTCTCAGAAACATGCAGCCTTTCTATTTAATGAAAACACTTCAGTTGACCAGAGCTACTCCAGTTCTTTTCTGCGATATCTATCTAAATCTGTACTGAGATTGCCTGTGCTCCATAGGAGTATCTGTGGTCTTTCAGAGTGAGATATGCTTTTGTGTGCTATAAGACCAATATAGTTTGCTGCATCAAAGTCTCAAGTCTTGGGATGTCTTTGGGTATATGGTTGCTGTGTCTACAGAGCTGGTTTTCTTCCCTGTGCTTGAGAGGGTGATGCTTCACTTGATCATGTTTATGTGTGGAGCGGTTTATAATCCTTGGGTACATTAGCAGAAATGTTCCATTTGTAAATGCACAGATATGTAGTAGAAGGTACTGGGCACACCAAATGAGTGTCATTGTCCATCTTAGATCTGTTAGAAAACTGGCCAACCAATAAATGCAAGCAACATGATGTGGAGGAAGAATAACAAACTCAAGTTTGTCTTTTCAGGTACAAAACTTGCAGCATTTAGGAACAAGAGGGTGATCAGACGGCTGAAAGAAAAAGAGGGCTTGCAGCAGGAAGGCTAATGGCAAGTGTAGGCAAGGTATTTGGAGCAAATCTGTGTGGAAAGTTAACTGGGAAGCCACTAAGCCAAGTGCAGACTTTGAGGGTTATTGCTTTTGCCAACATTTTATTCCAATTAAGGAGCAGCATTAATAAATGCAGGCACATAGCTTCATGTTTGCTGATATCTAGATGCTCAACAACTAAGGTCCAAGGCCTTCAGGGACAGCATTTTCCAAGGAACCCTAGTTGTGTTAGGATACAATGGGAATTTTGTGGTGCCTAAATAATTAAAGGCACTTGAGATATCATTGGTATGAACATGGATCCTAAGATCTGTGTTACAAGGCGTGTCTATGAATTTGAGTAGTCAGATAATAGGTCATGAGTACAAAAAGGGCAAGGTAAGAAAAGGAAAGGGGGGAAAATCATTATAACTAATTTAGGCACAGATACACAATATGTATCATATGATTCAGCAACTAAAATCACTTGTCCCATCAAGTGAATTTAATTCCTCTTTTTACAGCCTGTTTGAAGTGCAACATTTGCTACTTAGCAAAGCTGGCCTGATGGGAGGCTGGGCAATACCTAGGCTTAGTGAGACCATTTAAAAAGGACAAGGACTCAGGGCTCCAACTTGTGATTTGTGAGAAAAGCATATAGCCATGAGTCCATGGTTGGACAACACATAAGCCAAGTGTTGGCTTAGCTCAATGCAGCACAACAGTAGGAAAGGCAAGAGAGGAGCAAAGCAGCTGAAAGTTTCCCTCTGGAGCCTGAGAATGCTTATTAAGCCAAGTTTTGCAAACCAGACCACAGGTTCTGTAATCACCAAGCGATTAGAAAATGGGCACATTTTATGAAGGCCATGTTCTGATAATCCTATCTTGATTTATAAAGCTGAGGTATGAATGAGCCTTCTGCCTGCATAGCATATGCAGGTCCTTTGCTCTTCCCTTCATGGATAAGCAACCAAACCAGGAAGATTCTAATTATAGTTTCCAATTTTGTCTTAATTTACACCCATTCAATCAGCATGAGCTGTCAACCAAGGACATTTGTTATAAACCGTAGAGTCCCATATCATTCAAACTGGGAAACTATGGTTATCTGCTTTGGAAGAAGCCTAGGTAATTAAAACAATGGTTTGAAGTTGATTCAATATCCTGACTTGCTTCATGGCTGGTAACTGAAGTTCCCAATTTTGAATAATACGGAGAACTATGGTTAATCATATGGTTCGACTGCTCATGCCATGAAGGGTCTGAGTAGTTGGACAAAACATTTGTTTCTATCTTGATTTATTAAACTGAGATATGATCATCCAATGCACACCCTCCAGGTAGCGGCTGATTATATTAATTATAAATGTGTGAGAGTTGTGCCTGTTTATTGAAAATAACAATGTAATGCTCATAGCGCAATTTAATTTTCATGTAGCCAATTTTCAGCAGCCTTGTTTGAGGGAAAGGAACCGCGTGTAGTAAATCTTGATGCCTGCCATATGATTAACATCCCAATTTTTGTGATTAATGTTTGCTCTGCCATTGTGAGTTGCTTTCTCTTCCCCTCCAGTGTTCTGTGCGCTGTTTTTCTGCTTCCTTGCTCAGGTACTTCTGTACCAGCAACAGATGGCAAATATCCCTTGGACAGGAATAAAGGTGTCGCAGCCATTTGAAATGTGACACATGAAATGTAACTAGGTATTTTTTTTCCCCTGTCAGTAACACAGCAGAAGAAAACCTGCTTGTTTTATGAGCCTGAGGAAACTGGCAGCCAGAACCTCAGAGTAATCAGTCTTTTTAAAGTTATCACAGCAACAATAGTGAAATTTCAATGTTGGTAACATAGTAATATAAATATTGGACGGTCCCCTTTGGGCAAATTATGGCATATATTTTAAAATTACGCCTCTTGGCTTGTTTGCTTTGTCTTTGCCAGATTATTATGATTATTATTGTTATCTTAGTGAATAGGAGAAGCAGGGCCTTTTTCAGCCAGAACTCAGTTCCACCACCTCTCAAGTGGGTGCCATTGCCATTATAAGAGAACAAAGGAGGCGTTCATGGTGAGTTCCAGCACCTCTTTTCCTAGAAAAATAGCACTCAGGAGAAGAATCGTGGATGTTAATCAGTGTAATCCTATATGCAGGTTTACTCAGAAGTATGCCCCAATGAGTTCAATGGGGCTTAATTCCAGGTGAGGGGTATAGGATGGCAGCTGAAAATTAATTAATTGGTATTTTCTTACAGTCTTCCTGTGCTGCAGTCTACTTAAATGTTGGCTCTGACTGACCACATGCAAGTGTTGAATTAGAGAACCTCCAGTGTCTTTTGCCTTCAATACTTGTTAAGCAGGAGAAGAAAGAACTTGATGGTGCTCCAAGGCTAGGTTAATAAGTTACTGAAGTTGTGTAGTTACCACATTCCTAAAGAATGCAGTTGTTATATTATTTAGTACTTTTTTGTATTGCGCCTTTCCTCCAAGAAGATCTAGAGAGGATATTAGAAAATGAGCTGAAAGAAAACAATGGCAAACATGAGTTGCCTCTCTCTGTGTGTATTTATCATGTTCATAATTTTGAGTACATGATTTGGACACTTATCCCCAAGACTTTAGGTGAAATGCTAGTGTCACTGAAGTCTAGGTACAGATCCAGTGTCCCTTGAAAACCTGCCTTTCCCATCATATAATACTGCATTCAGACCATTCGTATAATTGACAGGGGGGCAGGTAAGCCCCACCCCACATATTCAATCACATGATGCAGTGTACGAACACCATTGGAATGGCAATGCCCATCAACTTTGAGGGGGGCAGCCCCTCAAATATTTAATGGGAGGGGAGCGAAGCGAAGGGACACACATTCATATGACTCAGATTGAAGCACTGCTGTCAGAAACAGTAACCACGACTTAGTTCTTCATATTCACCTAACCACAGAAGTTCAATTTAAAGATAGCTACAGGACAATTAATAGTGTGATTTTGTGAATGTGTTTCAGAAGATCTGAGATATGTTGTCTTCTGAAAAGAATCCCTAAGGAAATGAACATTTTTCGAGCGTATTTGTGCACCAGCTTTCCTTAAACACAAATCACAGAGTTACTTTATGTAGTTAAAGAATTTTTTCAAGGAGTATGTCAGGAAGCCGATGAATGCATAGGAAATTATCTATCCATTTTGCTATGAATCAGAGATTCACTGCGCTTCCTTTCTGTGCAAACTGCATCCAAATCCTTCTAAAGTTAGAGAAATATACACATATGGATAATCAGATCTAAACCCAATACTGTTCTTTTGTCCACTTTAATTGGATTTTCTGCAAAGGATATTTAACAAGATGAAATGCATTTCAGAATTACTAAAGAAAATAAAGAGGAACCAGGAGATATTGAATGCTCTTATTGATCTTGCCAAAAAGGAAAGCATCAGATGTTGCTGTTTCATTTTTATGTTTATCGTTTTCCCTATTTTGTATTAAGGAGTTCTGGGAAACCTTATTAAATGTTAAGTGCTGTTTGGTACTGCCTAGCCACCCAAGTGAGAGAATTTTAGTCACAATTCCCTTAAGCAGAGTGAAAAGGCACATAGTTCTGATTTTGTAATATGTCATGTCAGGTATTAGGTAAAGGTACCCCCAGACCGTTAGGTCCAGTCACAGATGACTCTGGGGTTGTGCGGTCATGTCGCTCTATAGGCCGAGGGAGCCGGCGTTTGTCCGCAGCTTCTGGGTCATGTGGCCAGCATGACTAAGCCGCTTCTGGCGAAACCAGAGCAGTGCACGGAAACGCTGATTACCTTCCTGCCGGAGCGGTACATATTTATCTACTTGCACTTTTTGGCATGCTTTTGAACTGCTAGGTTGGCAGGAGCTGGGACCGAACAACAGGAGCTCACCCCGTCGCGGGGATTCAAACCACCGACCTTCCGATCGGCAAGCCGTAGGCTCTGTGGTTTAGACCACAGTGTCTCCCGCGTCCCCTATGTCAGTTATTACTTGGCTCTTAATGTCTCTTCATGCAGGAAAGTCACAGTTCTTAATGAGTATGTATTTTGCAGTTTGAAATTGTTCTGTTTTAAAAAATGCCACTTATTCCTAAATATTCCAAAAGCAAGGGTTTTATATTCTTCGTTTCCAACTGTATTCTTTGGCAACACTAGGTGCAGTAAAATGCTTCTTCTTTACAAGTGCTGTACCAAAAAGTTGCTTCAACCCATTTTTTAAAACATTTGCCATCAGTTGATGAAAAAAGATGCTGCATTCAAAAGCACATTAAACAATTCTTTGAAATTCTTGTAGGTAAAAGGTTTTGTGCTTACCTTACTTTTAAGGTAGCTAAGGAGTGTTTACAAGTGTCGTTTCTTTCATTCTACCATTCTATCATCTTTCTGGTGGTCTACAGTGTACAGCCTTCCTGGGTGAGTGCCTTTACTGAACTCCTCACGACATTCTCAGCTGGACTTTTCTGTAAGCACAAGAAGACAGAGTGACTGCTTACTGTGCAGCAGTCAGCTGTTGTTGATTTTCAAGTGAAGATTTTTCATTTTAAAATAAATCAGTTTGTTTCTTAGTTTGTTTTTAAGCAATAGGAAAGGCAAACCCAAATTGGCAAGCCCACAATCCCAGGCATGCGAGGAATGGCAAACCCTCCAGGTTTTCCAGACTTCAGTCAGGAAGCCCAGGAAGTCCAGGCAGCTGTGGAGGCTGCAGAGTGCTGGGAAAATGTTTAATGGAATGAAACCTCACATCTGTAAAGTAAGCTTAATCCCAAGTATTGTGAAGAAAAGCCATAGTGTTCTGGGAATGAGTGTATAAAAACAAGAAATTACATTCTTAGACCAAGAAAATGTGGCTGTCTGTTATATAGGATACTTAAGCATGATGGGTGAGGGCATTAAATCCATAGAAATAACAGCTGCCACCCTCTCCTCACTCCTCAAGTCTTGACTGGTGCTGTGAAACCTGTATAATAGATTTAAGAAACAGAGACTCATTCCTTCTCCATCCAATCAGATTTCATCAATGCATGCTAGTTCAACTGGGTTTTGGACAAAGATGCCAGCTGTATAATAATTTTTCTCCGGAGGCATAAATTTGATGTCTGACAAGTGAGACTTGCAAAATAATGTTACAGTTCAAAGTGCTCTCTATTCAGGATCCCAGCTACTTCACTCAAAACTCCCTCTTCTTGTTTTACGTTTTCTCCCTCTCAACTATAGGGCAGCATTTTGATGCCCACTAAACAGTTCTAGGGATGCGGGAGAAATTCAGTACAATATGAATTGAAGGCAAACTTACCTAATTCATTCTTCCCCAAACAATATTCAAACAAAAACACTGTCATCTTTTGAAAGTAACACTTATTTGAATTTTGTTGTACAATTATCTAGCCAAGTAATTTGCACAAAAATGCATACACTGGGGTAAAGGGTGCAAAAAAAATGCATGTTGGTGAAAATAACATACAAACATCCATTATATTTTTTAAATAACATGCAAAGATGCTTTGCAAAAATGTAGCTATTAGGTACATTGGGTACATTAGGAGAAAATTGCAGTAGTATGTGGATAAAAACGAAATGCAAACTGTTGTGGCAGTGTGGAAAACTGAAAGACTGGAAAAACGAGAAAGCGAAATTGGCACGTACACCCATCCCTACCCAATCCTCACTGGGCTCTTTTGAGGTATTCCCCACCAAAATAAATACTTTTCGCCCTAATGGTTTTGTTTTTCGGACAGCCTTGGGGTTCTCTCAAGCCTGCTCCTACCTTCATTGGATGATGTCCTTTGGTCTACAAAAGCTCACCGGAGAACCAAGATTATTTATTTAAAGTATTTTGAAGCCACTCTTTAGAACTGCATCCTGTCAAAGCAATGCATAAAGAAGGAAAATATGAGATAGAAAAATAGCCACAGCAGAACAGATGTCCAGATTAATATAAGAAGCTTTGAACTGCCACAGCCAATTGTGGGAGCAAATTAAGCCATAGTCTTAAAGTGCTCTTGTAACCCTGCTTGTGGTGTAACACAATCATGTGTGGTGATCAGATTCTTAGGCTCACTGTACAAACATTTTAAGTAACCTTGGCAGAGACTTCCCCTTATAATTATTTCAAGTGGTAAATGACAGCTTTATTAGTATTTTATTTTATTTGAAATATTGGCATGCTGTCTAGACTCCAAGGTGGCTTGCAATCATAACCAAATGAAAAACTTCATAGTATTCTTCAACAATGACATTAAAGAGAAACATAGACACTTGAAAACAATAATGGAAGCATTAGTCCCCTCCCAGCTCAGCTATTAAAACTGTAGACAAATTAAACAGTTTTAATGTTACAGCATGCAAGTATGTTCCATAAACACCACTAAAAAGCAGGTCTTCCCAATACATTTCACCTACTTATATTTTGAAATGGAAGCTCCCAAAGTAGATCCCCTGAAGTTCATATATATCAGAGGCGAGAAGGTGCCAGCACTCTGAATAGTGCCCAGAAATATACAAGAAGCCAGGCAGTATATTTTAATAATGGAAACTGAGTGACAATTTAAAACTGATCTGCCTGCCATAATCTGACATTTCTGAACAATGTTAAAAGGCAGGCTCATGCGTTACTTTAATCTACAGTAAACACTGGTATTTTGGTAGTAACCTTTTGATTTTTGAAGAATCAGCAAGACCCAAGATTAATTGGGCAATGGTGTAAAGAGAAAGTACGTTTATTGAAAGTTGAGTGGTGTGAATAGAAGAGTGTCTGAACAATCAGAGTAACAAAGGTCAAGTTGGAATGTGTGCAGAGGAGGGTGACCAAGAGGATAGAGGGTCTGGAAATCAAGCCTTATGAGAAACAGTTGACAGGTCTAGAGACGTTTAGCGAGGTAAAGAGGAGACTGGGAGGAGATGATAGCCATCTTCCAGTATGTAAAGGGCTGTCCCATGGAAGATGGAACAAGTTTGTTTTCTATTGCTCTAGAGGCTAGGACCCAAACTAATGATTTCAAGTTGCAAGAAAGGAGATTTCAACTAAACATCAGGAAGAACTTTTTGGAAGTAAGAACTGTTTGAGAGTAGAACAGACTCCCATGAGTCAACTTTTCAGAAGAAGTTGGATAGTTCTCTGCCATGAATGCTTTAGTTGAGATTCCTGCATTTCAGGGGGTTGGACTAGATCAGCCTTTCTCAACCTGTGGGTCCCCAGATGTTGTTAGGTAGGGATGATGGGAACTGTAGTCCAACAACCTCTGGGGATCCACAGGTTGAGAACCGCTGGACTAGATGACCCTAAGGGTCCCTTCCAACTGCACAGTTCTATGGTTCTATATGCAAGTCATTGACTTGATAATAAACTGCAATGGGAAGTGTTAAATTGATGAAGGTGATGCAGATTAGAATAGACTAATATTATTCCAGAAAATTTATCATCATCATCATCATCACCACCACCATCATCATCATCATTTGTATCCCTGCTGATCATCTTAAAAGGCCCCCAGAGCAGCTTACATGCACTTCATTAAAACAAGCCCCAACCCACAGACATACCAGCTAAAAAAACTCAACATACAAGGGGAAAGGGACAGGGAGGGAAGAGGAAAATGAAGAAAAGATATTTTCATGTTGATACTTGTCTGTTCCCTGAAATGGTCTATGTGTACTACTTCAAATGGACAAATGTTCAATAGATGTTAATATGGACATAGATATTTTACTATGAGAACAAATAGAGGGATATTTCAACTTCATTCCTTTGGTATAAAATTTCACAGGACTTTTATGAAATCTTCCCAAAGGTTTTAGCATCTGAACCACATGGCTCTTTAACAGGGTCAATTAATCTAGGTTTGCAAGCATTCATTAATTCAAAGTGGAATCAGCTTGAGAAGTGGGAGTATGTTTTTTTCAGGCTGCCTCAAAATGCTTTTGATTCTACTTGACTAGGAATTAGACCATGTTTCTATCTGATCATTTAATTTTGTATCTTGTTTTTGAAATGGTATTGATCTAAATCAAAAAAATTCTCTCTCATTTGTTATTTATTTATTTATAACATTTGTTGAACACTCAGTCAACGAAGTCATTTGGGCTGTTCGCACCCAGTTCAAATAATATCCTGTTAAACCAATATTTTAAAATTGATTAAAAATATTAGAAACATTGACTATCAATCAGTTCAATTTCCTGCCTAAAAGCACCACAAGAAGAAAAACATTTTTTAAAAAAGCAGAAGTATTCTATTCCAAAGGTAAAATATATGTAGTTCTAAAACTATGCAGCTAGTTTAGCTATGGAGACATATTGATATGTTCTGTTTTATAGAATAACAGCTAGTCAGACAAAGTCATGTCTAACTATGGCATCCGTACCCAATTCACTTCTTCCATAACAGTTCTTCATTTTGTTAGAGCTACACAGGAGTAATTGGATTGTGGGCTGTAGGCCATGTTTGTTCTTTCGACAATAAAGTAATACCACAAAGTCAAGCTGGTTTTGTATTCAGAATCAGCTACTAAGTGGTAAGAGTAATGGTAAAAGAGTTAGTCATCCAACAGTGACATCTTCCACATGCATCCTTATGCACAAAATGTATATTCCATCTATCTGTTCTATCACTTTTTTTTTAGTGATAAACATAGTAGTATAACTTGTAAGACTTGCTTCTACTGTTCTCAGGATTAAGCTTACACTGCCTCAAATGGAATAATATTCAACATGATAAACTAGTAGAGTACATCATAAATATGCTTTTAACACTCTGTTTAACTTTCAATAGACTACTTGCATACTGGTTGTCCTAATATCTGCATCTCTGTGTGTTGTTAAACAGTAACAGTTCTTCATTATCATTTAGCCTGCAATCCTATACCTACTTACCTGGGAGTAAGCAGTCTCATATTGTTAAAACTTTTCACATGAATATATATATATATATATATATATATATATATATATATATATATATATTCTTGTTGCTATTGCTTCTGCAAATATCTAAATTGTCTTCAATCCATGCATTTCTGTCTCATCATTATTTCAGCCTCTAGTAAATTATTTTCTTTACCAAACATGTACATCACTTCTTAGGTATGGCAGCGCATCATTTTGTATTAGAGATGATGTCATGTAGTGCCATAGAAGGCTTAGGAGACACAGTGAACAAGAAGCTCATTGTCTTTCTCAAACAAGAGCAGTACTACCTAGTGATTAAACTCTGCAGCAGCATAAACACAGTTTTCCAGAAAGCTTTAAAAAAAAGGTACAAAGAGCAAGGACACGCACACACAAACATACACATATTCAACATGTAGTTGAGCCCTAATAGCCTATCATTTACAGCCAATACAGGAAGAGATACCCTATGCTGGGGTTATACATTGACTGGCCCATACTGCTTACAATGGGTCAAGCAACTGATATGATAGGAAAACATGGGGTGACCTCTTTGCTCCTGATCTATCCAGGATTTTTCTAGCTTCTGGGGCATTGCCTGTGTGTGTTAAGTGACAACCCAGTAAGTGGTGCAACTACTCCCAAGAAGTGCTTTTTTTCTAGGAAAAAAATGCTGGAACTCACCGCCTCAGTTGCCAGCCCAGATGCCAATGTTGATGCCATCTTGAAACCAAAATCACGTGACAAGATAGGGAGGTTCAGATTATTTCCCCCCTTCAGTGTCTTCACTCATTAACAGGGAGGAAGATGCACATGTACACTCCCAGCCAGGCTGCAGCTTGAAATCCTCATTTCTTTGCGGGGGACTCACCACACAAGGCCTTGCCATGCAGCGCAGATCCTCCATGTTGCATCCGGCCATGGCAGCAGCCAGCCACCTCCACCTTCATCTTCTGGCTTCAGAGAGGTAAGCCTTGACCGTTGGAGCCAGCTGGAGTGCCCCTGCCCCAACCCACTGCTGCTGCACCAGCTACTTGGAGCCTGTGGTTGTTGTAAACAAACAGCACTATCATTGTCAGGAAGCGGCCCGCAATGGCACCCACCTGAGAGATGCTGGAACTGTGTGTTCTGGCAGAGATGAAGTCCCGCTCCCAAGACAGTATGCTTCTGTAATGTTCCTAATAGTCCTAGCACCTTCTGCCAAACAGAAGTAATGTGAGTAAGATGGCTAGTTTGGACACCAGGTAGCTGGATACCCTTCTGTAGTTCTGTGCCTAGCTTTGCCATGACACTAGGGAGAAGGCAGCAGAGGCATGTTACCATGGCTGCTTGGATGAGTACTTTGACGCCTCTGCATATTAAGGTCTTGAGTCCATTTCCTTACAGAATTACTTTGTATTCTGGCCTCTATGCTTTATTCCTAGCTGATTAATGTTCATTGTTCACAGTAGAAAATGTTGTGATCTGAAAACTGCCTAAGCAGCGGTTGCACATAAACTGGATTGAAATTAATGAAGTCAAGGTCGCAGTGTATTATTATTGTGAGCAGACAACAACAATGCAAAATAGATGGGGTTCCTGTTGAAAAAGTAAAGAAAGCCACAATTTATTACTAAGAACACAACATAAAGGGGGAAAGGGGAAAGTCTAAAACTGAAGGAAAGAAAGGGTATGAGGATAGGACAAAAAAGGCAAGTACTTGTATATTTCTGTTGTAAAGCACTGTATCCAACTCCTAAAAACCACCCATAGTAGCAAACAATTGGATTGTAGATTCCAGCTGACAACTCAATACACAACTGGGATAAGCAGAATACTTTCGTTATCACAGTTTTAAGATTCCTTTATCTCAGCAGGCATTTCCCCCCTCAACAAATGGGTGTGTAAATAGTGCATAAAAATGGGATGTTTGATAAGAATGGCGTGTCTAAAAATGCTGTCTAGAAAGCAAGTGAAGAAATATTTAAGTGAGTAGGATAAGGGATGCTAGGTCATGGTCCTTGGAGGAGTAATCATTTTAGCAGAAGTTGCTATGAGGTTTGCATGGAGCTGTCTGTTAAAACACTGAGAGGAACCTCTATTTTAGCAGGTGATTTGAGGCAATCAGGAAGGGTGTTGCATGGAATCCTGCTGAACTGAGCAGGATTTAATTTCCACTGGTGAGCAGCTGTAAAACCCTGCTCAGTTTGGCTGCTACCCCGGTTACCTCCTGAGGGAAGGGGTTTAATCCCGCCTTCACATCCTTCACAGGATGCCACATTTTCCCATTTGGGGAAAACAGCCTTGTATACTGATTTAGATCCAACATACACACTTGGGGGGATAGGCGAAGATTGGCCCATGTGCCAGAGGTTCCCCACTCCAAGTCTAGAAGGCCCATGACATAGCTACCATATTAAAGCTAAGTAAGTTTGATCAATACCTGGATGAGAGACTGCCCCATGCATGCTTTCTTGAGCTTCATGGGAGATACTAGCTAACTAAATAACCAAACTGAGCACCACGATTTCCTTTGCTGTTTTTTGTGAACAGAAAAGTGTGGGTTGGTTCTAGAGAAAGGCTAGCAGAATAAATTCTGGAGGTGTCATGCAGAGCAAGCAGAAGACATAGTGTGATTTTGTGTGGATCTTCTGCAATCGGGCGTTTTGAGACCCTGTGGCACATGTAGTGCAAGAAACTTTTCCAGTGCCTTCCACAAAAGGAAGCACACCTGGATATAACTTTTCTCATACAAGGATCTTGTATGTGCCAGAAAATGCCCTTCTTAATGTGAAAAAGCCTTCCCCTTATGGAAGGGCCCCTCTGATTCCAACCCATTATGATTTAGTGCATTGACCAATCAGCAGCCAAGATTTTCCACAAGTCTCCACATTGAAATGCAAGGATGTGGGAAGTTGTCAGAACAGCTTCATTTCACTGTATTTCATACCAACTAGGCAGTAAAAGTGCTAGTTTGCCATGTTGGAGAATGCAGCATGTAGTAGTTTTTCACATAAAAGTTTTAATTTGTAAGATTTGCTTCCACAGTGGCCCGTTACTTCACGTTGATTAGCAATAATTCTAGCCTTTGGCATTCTTTTTTCAGTTTCTGAAGGTTTGATACCCTTTGCCAATTTAATTACTGAACGGCCCATTCACCATTAGAGACAAAACAAATATGATACAAAGGAATCTTGTGTCTATCGTTGGTTTGAGCCCATTTGTGTGTCTGAAAATCATTCTCTTCTGCATTAATTTGTTCATTACACTTAAATATATTGTTGTACATGAGAGGCAATCAAACAACATCTGGAAGCATCTTGTTGCAAGTGCTAAATGAAATTTTAAAAGGGTAGATCTATATAATATATGCAGGAAAAGGAGTTCAATGAGTATATGCAATTCAGATGGGGAATATGAATGCTTTTTTTTGAAGATGACTATAGTATAGATCTGCAGCTTATTGTTATTTTTTAAGAAAATTCTTTAACAAAATGTACAGTTAGAAATGATCACATAATAAATTATGATTGAAAAATTAAATTTGTTATGTAGATAGATTATGTTTCTTTATGCCCTTGCCATTCCTACCTGCAACTTTGTGATGTAAATCTTTGTCACTTTGAACAATAAATTCTGAATTTCAGATTGTAAAAGATTCTGGTTTTTACCACATGATTTCTCAAGCGCTTATGGAAAACCAACCTGTGTTTTAAAAACTTGGCCTGTATATGTATATTTTAAAAAAAGAAAATCATATTTTTTTTGTGATCACTCTGGCACTTTCTGTGAATTGGCCAATAAATATGATTTTAGGATTTCACATAAATGGTTATGTTCGGTTTTCTTTGTCTTCCCTGTATGGGATTGCCATTCACATTGCATGAAGGGAAATCCATTTCCTTTCATAAGTACCGTATTTTTCAGTGTATAACATGCCCCCGTGTATAACACGATCCCTATTTTTTAGGACTCCAAATTAAGGAAATGGGGAAGGAGATTGCCCAGAGTTGTTAAGCTTTTTATGGGGGGGGGGAATTGCCCAGGGTTGTTGAGCTTTTTGGGGGAAGATTGCCCAGAGTTGTTGAGCTTTCTTTGGTGGGGAATGCCGACAACCGCTCACCCGCCTGACCGCCTGCAGCTGACAAGCGCACACCTCACAGAAGACACCAATCGTCTGCCCAATCACATCCAGAAGCCACAAATTGCCCGCGCAATTGCCACAACAACAGCCAATCCCAACCAGCCCTTGCCACACACACCAATCACCCGCCCAATCACCGCTGTATATCTCTGACTCGTGGCTGCCAACAATCGCCCTGCACTACGCATGTATAAGACGACCCCTAATTTTTTACATTATTTTTTAATAAAAAATCTTCGTATTATACACAGAAAAATATGGTAAGTTGAATCAGACCAAAGGAAAATGGTCCTCTTCATTTAAAAACATAGTCATATGTGGCTGGAGGCGGAAAGGGAACAGATTTAGGTGTGCATGTATACGTGAGTGAGAGACAAAATGTATGATACTGAGTGTGAGGCAATAGTTACTGCATGCTTGGTATGAGGAATGCTTTGTATGCATGAAATGGCTAGGGAGAGAGATCAAATAATAAACTCTTTCCCCTTTCTGCCCCCCCCAAACACACCTTGTTTTATTGAATATTTCAAGATGTAAGTGGTACATTTGGCTGAAGGAACAAATGCTTTAACAGATGGAAGACAACTTCACTTCCAACATAGACAAGTTCACCAACCAGTGAGGAAGTAGCAGTGTATACGATTTAGTAAAAGTGAAATATGTCAGGAAGTAACAAACTAGCTCTTGAAGGTGTTAGGAACATGTAATATGAATGAACTCTAGTAATTTGCTGTTCCCTCTTTGCTGCCATCTAGTCTTTATTTGAACTGGGACTTGGTCCCAGAAAACATGAAGTCATAATAAAGAAGATGATAGTGCCTTTGATCATGCACACACACACAATGGAATTCAACATCATGCTTTTCTACACATTCCATCTGTGTAAGTATATCAGCTTACAGAATGGAACGATACCCCCACTACTCCTTCATCATGATGTTCAGGAGGTTCTCAAGACTCCCCCAATTAGGGAGGCATGGAGACAAGAGACAGAAGACTTGGGAAAGCCCCATTGTGCAAGTGGACATCCTTGTACAGACCTTCCACTGACAGGGCGACTATGGACTCAGCTAGACTGGTAAAGAAAAAGTGAGTTATATGCATTGTCTGTGTGATAAAACGTTGTGCCACCAGATGGCGACATGGAGTCCTGTTTTTCTCTGTTTTCCCTGTTTAAATTTACAATGCTTTAAACCGAAACGTTTCTTTGATGTGTCTAAATCCAGCCTATCACCCATGTATTTCCATAATCCTAGTCAAGTTAGTTGTAGCAGTACAATTGTAACAACACCAGGCCTTCCAACATATGATGTACTTTCTTCTCCAAATCTCACATAACCGTGAGGGTAAGTCATGTATCAACTGGAACAAATTATCTATTATCTGCTTTAATATGATATTTGCATTCATTAAAAAGCATGCTGTAGCTAAAAGTCTATTTAAAAAGCCATGTTTACACAAAGACAGAAGAAAATATATAGAAAAATGACTTCTACCTGTTAGTCCAGAATGGTATTGGGGGGAAAGTTTTAATTTTCCTTAGTAAAAACTTTCCAGTTGTTGCAACAAATTCAATAAATCCCATAACCTGTCATTAAGCAAAGTTAATACCTGCAATGACAAGGGCATTACTGTCATGTTCTAGAATATTTATGAAATTAACAGTCTGTAAATGCTTCAAGAGATTGTGTTAATACCTTACCAACCTGCCTTACTAAGTAGATAATCATCTGCTCCTAATTCTGGTTATATTCCGCAGATTTTGGCGATGGCTTGAGAAAATTGAAAGAACAAATTTAATGGGCTGCGTTGGGCTCTTCGGCTGGAAATTGTATCAGGTTTCACTATTACATACCTTGTTCATATTAGAAAAAGAGCAAAGAAAGGCAAACCTTAGCAGCAGCACAACAATACTGAATGGTATTAAAGTAGTTTCAGTGCCAGTCAATGCTGCAAAATTTGTGAGTAGCACAGCCTGGAATTCTTGGAACGGAAGTCTCTTTCAAGATCAACAAAACTAGCATTTTGGTGTGTAATTTCTAGTGAAAACAGAGGACAAAATACTAACTTACAATAGGGAAACATGGGCTGTTACCTTTCCTTGACCAATTTGATCTCTACATATAATGTTACAAATAGCCAGATAACAAATAGGCTGGTCATGTATCCTATGTTATAGAGGACTTGCAGGAGTCTAGTTTAAACATAAAAATCTTAAGAAGGGAGAACAGTGGCCTTAAAGTTGCCTATCAACTGTGAGCACCTTGACAAGCAGACTGAGCAAGGACACAAGTTGCTTGATCAGTCTTACCCCTTATGGTCAGACATATTTCTATTTCAATTCCAGTAATTACTTTCAAATTTGCTTCTATAAACAGAAATTAACATTGGCAAGCTTTATGCAAATCTGTGTCCTCTTTTGGAGTGATGCAGCGCATCTTTTTTGGCAATGTGTAAGCAGACCACTCTAATAACAACCTTTCTACCTGCTGTGCTCAAGACCAAGGGCAGGGGGTGTGAGCTTTGTTGAGGAAGACAGTTTCCTTTTGCTTTTGTACTAGCAGCAGGACTGCAGTGTCCTCGAGTGGGTCAGAGGAAATATTTTATTTTACTCACTTTCCACACTGTCCTACTTCTTCTTTTTTACCTTGTTAACTAACAGCATTTTTTACGAACATTTAGGAGTGACCTCTCTCTATTCTAAAGGGAACTTCTTGTACAAATACCTGGTTCAATTCAGGTTGTGGTGCACGAGCAAAGGCACACCGAAATCCCTCAAGTGCATCACAAACTGGAGATTTGTCACTCATAGTTCATAGAACTACTGTTTCACTTGATACGTTGAATCCAAATTCCTATCAACTCCTTCAGATTTAATAGCTGCTATTAATATAGCTTATGCTTCATTAAGCATGGATTTGAAGTGAACCATGCTCCGATGACATGGTTCAATAAAATGCTGAAGGACATCTAGAAGAACAACTATTTTTATTGCAAGAGGTGTTAGTAGAACAGGCTGGGATGAATTACATCCTCAAAGTCCAGGGAAACCATTTTTGGAAATATAATTTTTATATATAGATTCTCATGTGTACATTGCTCTGGGGGTATTTAATACAACACTTGGGAAAGTCTTATTTTTGCTTGTGGATCTTATCAGAAACATTCTGTTTTAGCTAGTCACTATTCATTATTCACAAGTGGGGGCATGCAACAAAATACTGTAGTGATATATGCTTTCGTTCAGTATTTTAGTCAGTCAGCTATGCATTTCCGTGACCTCCATTCCATTCCTCCTCCCCACCACAGCCAGTTTTTCTGTTTTTTTCCCCTACCCAACAGATGCTCAGCATTTTTTGTTTTTTATTTGTTATATAACTGTTTTAATTCAGCACTTGAATTCACTACATATATGGTGATGGCGATTCTGGCTTCATATGGGTATCAGTATTCTGCTTACTGACACTTAAACATCAAAGTCAGAATTGCTACCTGCTGCAACTTTTGTCCGAATAGTAAAACAAAATCCCTACCATATCATGAAGCAGCCATCCTTTTCAGGAGCATGTGTTCTAATAGGATTGCCATATGTCAACTTTACCCAATACACTTTCTTTTTTTCATGGGTATGTAAAATGAGAGTAGTCATAGTGATCCAGTAAAAGTAGAAGTTGGCAAATTTGTCCTCTTTTTTGCTCTTCAAAATATGGCAACTCTACTACAGGTATATTAGGAAAAGACGTAAAACTGCATTCCTGTCAGTTTTAATCTGATGATTTCAATGGGACAGACATTCAAACAACTAAGGGAGAAATCCTAACCTCAACCCCAGAGTGGCAGGGACTGCACTGCATCCACAGCCCTGCCATGGGGAACAAGCCTGAAGCCATCACATTACGGCAGTATGACCAACTCAGTCCAGTCCTTTGCTTGAAAAGTTCTCTAGGGCTTGCCAGTGCCTGCCACTGGCAAGGATCCTTCCAGTAGCACTTCTGCTCAACAGGGCATTTGGCAGGTGGAAGCAGGAACTCCATGCCATTGGCCTCCCTCCACTGGCACTGGGCTGATGCAGACTGGGGGGAGGCAGACCTTTACCCAACACAGAACCCTAGCCCAGCATAAAGGGGGTTTGGATTGCTCTGATCAAGAACTTTAGAAACGTACTACAGTGGTACCTCGGGTTAAGTACTTAATTCGTTCTGGAGGTCCGTACTTAACCTCAAACTGTTCTTAACCTGAAGCACCACTTTAGCTAATGGGGCCTCCTGCTGCTGCCGCGCTGCCAGAGCACAATTTCTGTTCTCATCCTGAAGAAAAGTTCTTAACCTGAAGCACTATTTTGGGGTTAGCGGAGTCTGTAACCTGAAGCGTATGTAACCCGAGGTACCACTGTATACCCCTGAGGAAAAACAGAAGTAGAATCTGCATGGCCTAAACACTGATGAATCAGAATGGCATTTTACCTGAATTCATTATGGGCCTTGTGTAACTTCAGGTGTACATCACGTAAATATATTCAAACAACTGATCATGCATACTGGATATCACATAGGCCAATTTTGTGAATGAGGTTGTTCTCTATATTTTTTTAATGTGTTTTTGAATACTTGACTGTAATCTACAAGTTTATAGTGTTTTCTTTACACATCTGCTGGCATTCCATCCAATTTACAAGAAGGC